AACAACAAACGTGTAATCATAGGCCTTTAAAGGAGACAAAAACCTTAGAAAATGTTTAGCCCAGTACTTTTAACTGTTATGTGTCACAAAGACTTTAATAGGATAATCTTCCATCAGTAAGAATGACTTATTAAGATTCTCACTTTTTGGGTAAGTAGAGAAGTGATGATAAAGGAATAAAGGAGTTATGTATGATATTCTTTAGGGCAGACAAATAGGGGTTTGAGTTAATTTAAAAAGAAACTGAGACCACCTAGATTAGGTAGTCTCTTTAGTAAGGCATTTCCAGATAAGGTGTTAAGAAAGCAGTAGAATAAATACTAGGATCCCTTCTGTAGAAATTATTCTTCTACCCTCATCTTTTCCCTCAAGCCCACATGTCCAACCATGGACTGCATTATGATTAGTCTATATTAGGCCCAACCTCATTCTCCAGATAACAAACAGGACGAACAGCAAATGAAGCTCAGTAGCTTGGGCGAACCATTTCTCTCTCCTATCTGTTCCTTTCATCCTGATGGTAACAGATCCAGGAATTATCAGAACAAACTTACAGCAACTTCCTACTTTGTTCAGTTCATTTTTTTCAAATGAACAAAAAAAAATTTGTTTGAATGTATTAAAAGTAATACTAATTTTAGTCATATAAATGAACTACCTATTCTTTATAATTGATAGACATGCTTTCAGAATATTAAATGTGTCAGGTAAGTTTCAAGTTTTATTAAGTTACAGTTTTATACTCTATTCATTTAGGACAGATTACAAAAACTGAAACTGCCCATACACCCCCCCCAGCATAATGGGAATGTACTCCACTTGCTTTTTAAAGGTTATCTTACTCTTAATGCTAAGGAAAGAGTAAATCAAAGAATTAAAGTACTACAGTGAAACCTGTGAGAGTCGGAACTCAATGGGACTGCCTTGTTTTTCCAGGTCTCACAAGTTTTCTGCCTTTGTCAAGGTGCGGTCTTACCTCTTTTCTGTCACTAGTTTTAGTGGGTAATATTTTTCCTTCTCCGACAGGTTTCCACCTTATACATGTTCCAGCTTTCACAGGTTTTACAGTATAATATAAAGGAATAGAAATAGTACCTATAGTCCTTCTGTCTTTTTCTCCTATTGTTTTTATTTCTTTTATCCTAACATAAAGAGAAGCAAGTAAGTTGAGAATGTTGGCAGGCTATGTCCTAGTCTTAGTTTTCACTGCATATAAAATCTGGCCAAGATGTCCTGAAATAATTAATTTCAACCCTGGCTCCTAGCTTCCTTTGTGCATCTCTTGCTTATAACATTTTCTCTCCCTCAGCTTCTTTCAATATTCTGTCATAATCCATCACAGAAATCTGAGACTTGGCAACATAGTTTTAGTTGTATCTGGACAAAGTTGATCATAAGTGACAGTGGAAGACAGATTTTTAAAACATGCTTTGTAAAGATTTTTGAATTCTGTGGCTCAAATCAGGAGATTAGTGGTATAGTGATTAAAGCATTCGACTGCTAACCAAAAGGTTGGTGGTTCGAACCCACCAGCCACTCCATAGAAGAAAAATGAGACAGTCTGCTTCCATAAAGATTCACAGCCTTGGAAACTCTTTGGAGTAGTTCTACTCTGTCATACAGGGTCACTATGTCAGAATCGACTCATTGGTAGTTGGTTTGGGTATGGCCAAAATCATTCCTAGCTCCTTTCTGAGAAGTACACTTCTATCCACATATTCAAAACAACCCAACTTGAAGTTCTCACACTTCAGAAGATCATCATACACAATCCTTCCTCAATTTAGGCTGAATATTATATTGTATAGTATTGTGTGTATATTAGATATACATATTATTGTACATTATTTATCATATTGTAATATATTTAGGCAACCTAGGTAGAAAGAATCATGACTGCATAGTTCATATGCCTATTTGGTATTTTATTAAACAAGACCTTTAGAATTTAGTAACTGAACCTTAAAAGTTCTTGTTGTTGTCATGTGCCATGGAGTCGAACCCTACTCATAACAACCCCTCCTTGGGTTTCCAAGGTGATATCACCACAGAAGTAGATTGCCCAACCTTCCTTCTGAGAAGTGGCTGGTGGGTTTGAACCGCCAGCCTTCTGGT